GGTGCGACGCCCGAGTGGGTGGCGACGCCGGGCTGTCCTGCCTTCCGAGGCAGCACAGTGGTTGCGACCACAACAAAGCTGACAATAAGGCCATCGTAGTACTTGTAGGATCTCCAAGTCGCCCACCGCCCTTCCCAGGAGACCCACTGTGCGGAGGAGGTGGTCTGCGGCGTTAGCCTGGCCCTGCCTGGGGCGAAGGCGCTTGCGCGGGGATAAGCCCCTTCACCCGCCTCCCTCTGCTGTGTAGACGCCCCAGGGCAAGTCAAAAATGTGGATGCTAGTGCTGGACCCTGGTTCAGAGGGATTCAAACCCGGGTGTCCACCCTAAAGTTTGGTTTATTAACACTCCGCCCTTACAAAGGCAACTCTAACGAGTTTGACTGCTTATAAATTAAAAGAAAAATAAGATTAAGTAAATAAATTTTAAAATAAAAGAAAAATAAGGCTCAAAAAAGATGGCTGGCACAGGTAGTCCAGAGGAAACCCTCAGGCTCCTGGGGAGGAGCAGAGGCTCGGGCCCACCAGCCGCCTGTCCCCACAGTGTCCGACTTCTTGGAGGAGTTCCCCGGAGAGGGTCGCGAGTGCGTTAACTGCGGGGCCCTGTCCACACCACTGTGGCGTCGTGATGGCACCGGCCACTATCTGTGCAACGCCTGCGGCCTCTACCACAAGATGAATGGCGTCAACCGGCCACTCGTGCGGCCCCAGAAGCGCCTGGTGAGTGCGGGCCGGTTCAGGGGGTAGGGCGCAGCGCTGGAGGGGACTGGTCCCCGGGCAAGTGAAGCTGGAGCCCCGAGGGGTGGAGGAACCTCTTGTGCAGGAGTGTGCAAGGAACAGCCCTGGACACCTTGCTCGGGCCAGGCCGGCTTAGCTCCTCTGGGACCAGGCAGTGGAGTACACAAGGATGGCCCTGGGAGCCCTGGGCTGCAGTGTGGCGCTCGGTGGGAAAGAGACAAGAGACAGGCTCTGGTCGCCATGCACTGCAGGGTCTCCCTGGGAAAGGGCTGGCTGGGCAGTGAGCTTTGCCCCAGGATTGGGGCTGCGGCCTAGCCAAGTGTCAAACACCTCAAGGTGACCCTGCCCAGGGATGGGGCTGGAGAGGACAGTGGCTGCTGGATAGATGCTTTGTTGGGGGGGTATTGAAATCCTAAGTGAGGGGTCTTTGGGTCCACCATCGCCTGGGGTGGTGTGCTTTGTTTTGTCAGCTGTGCTTTAGAGACTGCTAGGAAGCCAGGGATACCGGTTTTCTGCCTCCTTGGAGAAAGCTCATTCTCACTTTTGGCTGCTCCTGGCCTGTGGCTGAGTGGGGAGTGGGGGGCTCAGAAGCCCAGACTTCTGCCCTAGAAGCTGCGTGAGGGCTTAAAGACACAGTTCTGTACCGTTTCACAGGCAAACCTGTACTCATGAGTAACGTTACAAATAAGTTTGGGGTGTCAATGTTATTGCAAGTTGTTTAAAGTTAATGAGGCCGCCGTGGCTCCCGCAGGTCTGAGGTCCCAGCAGTGGAATGTTCCTGGGGGGACATTCCGAGAGGAAGGCCAAGCCTTCCCTCGGTGGTGGTGTGGGCGCATCAGGACCCACCGGCCAGCCTGGAGATCCCACCCTGGGTGGCAGGGTGCTGCTCTGCACTGCGTGGATAGTGGCTGCCGCTCTGTGGGGCACTCAGCTCCAGGCCGTTGGTGGAAACTTGAGGCCCTGGGCTGTGGCAGGCCTGGGCCCAACCGACTGAAGTCCAGGGTGGGACAGGACAGGACAGGTGGGAAGCAAGAGCTGCAGTTCAAGGGCAGCCACTGACGTTCTTCCTCCAAGCTGGCCTTTGGGGCTCTGTGGGTCCCAGCCTCCCTCCACCCACGTTGTGCCTGTCGGAAGAAGGGGACCCTCAGAGTCCACATCACTCTCTCAGCCTCTTCCCTCACCGGATCTGCCCCTATGATCATGCCCCCAGATGTGTCTCCCCAGCCTGGTACCCAGGAGGCCTTCACTGATGGGGAAACCAAGGTTAAGAGGGGGTAGGGAGCTCAGCCCAGGTCCTGCGGGACTGCAACCTGGCCCCCCACCCCATGCAGCAGGCTGGCCTTCGTCTGTCTCTGTCCACTCTGCCCTACACCAAGCCCTGAGCCAGGCGCCACCAAGACACACAGTGGTGAACAAGAGAAGGGGTCAGGGGAGAACCCGCCTGTATCCCCCAGAGACAAAGGTATGGGACCCCCTAGCCCCTCTTCCCACCCCACGGTAGAACATCCCTGACGTGGGGCCTCCCTCCAAACACTGAGGCGTGGTACCTCATCCACCTTCACCACAGCCCAGGGCAGTCAGCCCTCAAGTGCAGACCCCGGATTAGGACCCTGAACTGTCTGCCTTGGGCGCCATATGACCCCCTCACTGTGCCCCCGCCCTGCCCCAGGTCTTCAGCCCTGGCGGCGCTTGTTCCAGCTGGACCCCATGCCCCTGGGCTATAGCATCCCGTGGACAGTCCCCAGCTCTTTGTACCTTGGTGTTCTCACCCAAGTAGTGAGGAGATGATTTTGGAGCTGTCCCACACCAAGTTGTAGAGATTCAGTTGGGCAGCTGGTGCAGGGCTTGGACAGACCGCCTCTGAGGACGGGCTGAGGCCAGGGGTGCTTGGCCTGTTGAGCCTCTACCTCTTGGTCTGGGGGACATGGGTACCCAGCTCTGGGGATGCCTCCTGGGTGAGGGACTCCTGTTTACCGAAGGCCACAGACTCCAGAGTGTAGGGAAGGTCTGGTCACCCCTGTGTCCAGGTCCATCCAGACCTGAGCATGGAACATGCCCAAGAAGCCTTTGCCAAGTGGGGCTGGGACAGGGGACTTTGCAAGGCCCCCTCTGCTCCCCATTTCTGCCTGAGAAGGACCCCAGGGTTTTTCTCTGACTTCTCCCACCCCAGAACTCAGGGAGCTCAGTCCCACCACTTGCCTGGTGGCCAGTCCTACAGGGCCATGCTCAGTGTGGAAACCCCAAGACTCAGAGCCAGGCCCACGTAACTCCTGGACATGGGGGGCTGGGTTTTTCTCTGAAGCTTCCTCCTTGAGTGTGGCCAGAACAATGCACCCAGAGGGGCCTCCCCAGGAAGAACTTGTTCTAACCCTCTTTTAAATTATTACAAACTTCTTAGAAGCATGTCAGCAACAATACAGGAAGGTGACCCAAAAAGCAGCCACCCTGCCATGCTCCCAGCAGGAGCACCCAGCTTCATACCCTGTGCTGAGCCCCCTGTGTGCATCCACCCTTTGACCTGAGGGTCTGTCAGCGTGGGCGAGCAAGGTGCATCATTACAGTGGTCCCCAACCCACCCACCTCCTCAGCTCCCCCACAGCAACCCCTCTGCCTCACACACACCCCAAGCCCCCTCCCCAGGATCTGGCTCCCATGTACAGACATGACCAGGGGCTCTCTGAGCCCCATATGGCCCAACCCCCTGAACATAGGAGCCCAGACCGAAGCCGGAGCCCAGCAGCCAAGGTCAGGGTGGAAGGCAGGCCTGAGGCCGGCTCTGGCGCCAGCTCCCGGAAGTGGCTGGTGTCATGCGGGGCTGAGTGTCCTTTGCCACTGAGCAAACCTGGGTCCTAACGGGCTCAGACTTCTGAGGCTCACATGAGTCAGAGTGCCCTCGCCAGCAGGGGACACGTGCACTTTATCAAACTAATTGTCCAGGCATTTCAGCCACTTGCCCATCCCCAGGGCTCAGACTGCTCCAAACGTCTTTGCGCGGCGACGTGGCGTCCTCTGGCTGCACACCCATCCAGTCTCGGTCTCGGTCTCACGTAGGGGCTCCAGCCTCCGCAGGGGCGACTCTGGCCTGCAGCTTTCACTTCCCGGCCTCCCTGCCTGCACCGCTGGGACCTCCGCCCCTCGCCCCTCGCCCCCACCCTCCCCCATCATCCCCCCGTCAGCCCGGCTGCACGAGGAGCAGCTTTGAAGTTCAACTGCTATTGAAAAGAACAGACAAAAACCGAAGCGGCCAGGAGAGGCCTAGCGGGTGGGGGCCCAAGAGCGGCCAGGCCTGGCTGCTTGTCCGACAGTGAGGAAGGACAGATGGAGGCTCGGCGTCCGTCAGGGTGTAGCGTCACTGGGGCCAGGGCGGTGCTGAGTGCATGTCTCCGAAGTGTTCAGCCACGGGAGGCGGCTCTGTCCACCCCACGTCCCGCCACTTTCCTCTCTAGTCCCTTAGCATTTCTGAGCCTCAGTTTCCCATCTGCCTGGCAGCATCTGGCGAAAGTATAGGAAAAGGTGACAGAAGCGCTTTGAACATTTTTTTCAGGTCGTTCTTTTTTTCCCCATGTTCTTAATTTTATAGAAGTAAAACATGCTCGTTGTAAAGAGATTCAAACATGGCTTCTAGATTTTTCTCTCACACTTGCAGGGGTGATGGGCATGCATGCTTCTGGGGTTTATTTTCTATGTACAAGGGTACTTCAAAAAGTTCATGGAAAGATTTATATTATCTTTTGGTTTTGTTTTTGTGTTTTTTGGCGGCTGGCCAGTACAGGGATGGAAGCCTGGACTTCGGTCTTATCAGCACCATGCTCTAACCAACTGAGCTAACCAGCCAGCCACACATTATCTCTTAATTCTATTTTTCCATGAACTGTTTGAAGTACCCTCATGTAAGTGTTCTGCATACATTCCACCCACTTTCGTTTCTCTCTGCAATCTGTATATCAAGGGTGCTCCTTGTCACCACTGCGTGTAGCCTCGTCTCCGCCGATGCACGGGCAACTCTGGGGGATATTTGAGGTGTGCATGTATGTGTACACGTGTGTGCGCTGTGGAGCAATGGTTGGTCACAGCTGGTTTGCGGAGGGCTCCCCCTCAGTCTGAAGGGACAACAGGAGATGGGGACCATGGTGGAGCCCATGGGGAGTGAGGTTGCCAATAAAATACAGAGCACCCTGTTAAACATGAATTTCAGAAAAACATGAACAATATTTTAGTGCTTACGTCCCAAATATTCACAGGACGTGCTTATACAAAATGTTCATTGCTCATCTGAAGTTCATGTCCAGCTGGGCGTCCTGGGTTTTTTGTTGTTAAATCTGGCAGCCCTGGGGGAGGTGGCAAGGCCTCTCCCCACTGTCAGGAAGGCAGAAGGATGGATGGGGACGCTCAGAGGATAATGGATGGGGACACTCAGAGGATCCTAGCCTGGGATGGGTGGCAGGGCTGGGAGGAGACCCTGCCTTACACTGGGGATGGATGGGGACGCTCAGAGGATCCTAGCCTGGGATGGGTGGCAGGGCTGGGAGGAGACCCTGCCTTACACTGGACAGCAGGCTCCGGGAGGGCAGAGAGTACCCACAGCCACCAAGAAGTGGATAGACGGAAGGGAGGGTCTTTTGTCCCTGTGCCCCAGGTGCCACTGATGGGTCTGGACCCTGACTGCCACAGAGAGGATGGGTTAGAGACCTGGCAGGGGCATCACTGTGGCCGTGGTGAGAGGGGCTAGGCACCTGGGCCAGTCTCAAATCCTACCCAGTAAAAGCAGCTGCTTTATAGATAAGTCAGGATGTGGCCATGGGCTTTCCAGGGAGAGACACAGGCTGGGACCCTGGTTGTGAGGGTCTAGGCACCTGGGCCAGTCTCAAATCCTACCCAGTAAAAGCAGCTGCTTTCTAGATAAGTCAGGATGTGGCCATGGGCTTTCCAGGGAGAGACACAGGCTGGGACCCTGGTTGACAGCTGGGCTGGTTCTCCTGCTGTAGAGGTGCCCCACCGTCCACCATGGCCACAGACACCAGCTCCCTCCACTCCAGTGTGAGCTCAAGTCCCACCCCCAGTTGTCTCCAGGAAGACCACTAGAGACCCTTGAGTGGCTGGATGTCAGCCCAACACCACCATGGCATGGAGGCCATCGGCCAACGGTAGGGATGGCCACCCTCCCTGGGGTCCCCAGCCAGGCCAGGAGCTGTGGCCCACAGGCCCCTCTTGTGCCTTCCCCACCTCCCCAGCCTGGCCCCTTCCCTTCCTTTTCACTCTTTGTCACAGAGCCAGGAGCCTAGGGCAGAGTCCTGGCTGGAGACCAGAGCCACCCCCAGATGAAATGGGGATGGGATTCCCAGAGCCTCTGTAGCTTGGAGTGGTGGGGAGGGATGGGGGAGGAGAGCGCAGCGGAGAGATTGGGGGTTAAGGGGCAGTCAGGCAGGGGGAAGGGCGGGAGGTGGTTCACATCAAGTTTTGGGGGAGTAGCTGGTGCTCAGGACTGCACAGGTCTCCCAGGCCATCCACAGGGGTGGGCCTGTGCCCCTGAGCACAGCCTGGGGGACGGGGTGACAGGAGGGAGTTGACAAGGTGGGCTCAGGAAGGGATCCTAGAGATGACCAGCAGCCGGGAGACTGAGGCTGGCCTGAGTCTGCTCACCCCTCACCCAGAGCCATCTCACTTTGGGTCCTTCTCTGGCTCTCTCCTAAGCTAGAGAATGGGGTTTGGGGGAGGTGCACAGCTTTGAGCGTCTGGCCCTCATCCTCATGGGCTTTTGTCCCTGTGCCCCAGGCACTGCCGATGGGTCTGGACCTTCACTGCTGCAGGGAGGATGGGTTAGAGACCTGGCAGGGGCATCACTGTGGTCCTGGTGAGAGAGGCTGGGCACCTGGACCAGGTGGGGGCCGTGCGATTGGAGGAAAGGGGGACAGGGTTAGGATCGGGCATTTGAGGACAGGAGCAGGGGCGGGGAACAGAGTAGAACCCTCCAAGGACGAGGCCTGGGTGCAAGGGGTGGGAGGTGCAGTGCCACCAGCAGGGCTATGCTGTGGGGAAGGGCTTCAATCCGAGATGCCTGTGAGGCCCTGAGCCAGAGCCCCCAGGCTGCACAAGACTCCATCCAAATGCCAAAATGTGAGTCAGGCAGGAGAGAGGTGGGCTGGGCTTGGGGACACTGAGCTCACAGCCAGAGGGCCCCAGTCAGGCCCCCAGCAGCCAGCACAGCAGAGCCTCCCTGGAGCCTCCCAGGCCTTGCTGGGTCCAGATTCCCAGGCCCCATGCCAGATCCTTTGACCCAGGACCTGGAGACAGCACCGTCTAGGGGCACCAGAACTCCCCACATTCGAGTTTGGGATCACTAGTCAGAATTAGACCTGCAGTATGGGGGGATCCATCTCTCCTGGGAGCCATGGGAAGGAGATAGGGATGTCAGGGCCTCTGGAAGGTTCCGGGTAGGTCCAGTCTTGCTCCAACACGAGGCACGCTGCATAGCATGTGGGAGACTCAGGCAGGCAGGACCCAGTACCATTGGCCCGCCATCCAGTGGGCACTGGGGGCCAGGGACAGCTGCTGAGCTGAGCATGTGCTCTGAGTCCCAAGGCTTGGGAGGCAGGTGGCCAGAGGGACCAGCAGGCCCCTGAACGCTCTCCCTGTCCCTGGGGCCTGAGCTCCAGAGGGCCCCCATGGCCTCAGGGGGTTGCTGCACCATAGAAACATGGGGTGACAGCTCAGCATTGGCTAAAGGAGACGACACAGAAGAATGCCTGCTGCTTTTCTGCTCACAGCTCTTCTTGGGCTCTTACCCACAACCGGCCCATGGCGGTCCGTCACCCCATTTTACTGATGAGAAAACCAAGGCCCAGAAAGGTGAAGTGACCTTTCCCAGGGCTTGAGGGCTGGTGAGTCACAGCTCCGGGGAATCAAGGACATCGTGTCCTGCCAGGCCGGTCCAGGGCAGACCTCACGACCTAAGTGCCACCAAATGCCCTCAGCCAGAGCCCTCCAGGGCCTGCGTCCTGCTGCAGCCTCTGGCTCTGGGCTCATACTAGTTCCCCATCCCCACAGTCCTCGTCCCGCCGTGCCGGGCTGTGCTGCACCAACTGCCACACGACCAACACCACACTCTGGCGGCGGAACGCGGAGGGGGAGCCGGTGTGCAACGCCTGCGGCCTCTACATGAAGCTGCACGGGGTGAGTGCGGGCTGTCCAGGGGGCTGGGACAACCCAGGCAGGACAGCGATCAGCCCCCGGCTGAGCGTGTTGCATGCAGTTTACGCACATGTCCCCACTGCTGTGGCCCCACCCCAGCCCATGCTGTTACAATTATGCTCACGGAGGCTTGTGGCATGGCTGTGGGGGCGGACACTGGACACTGCCCTCTGTGTACCCCGGTGCCTTCCTGGCCCCCAGCAGCTCTGTGGGAGCCTGGGAAGGGAGTCCAGCCACAGCCCCACGGGCTCCTCCTCACCTCACCTGGGAGGACAGGGCCACACCCGGGGGAGGCAGCTGACCAAACACATGGTCAGCTCCAGGAGTGGCTGGTCCTGTGGAGCTGAGATGGGGGAAATGGCCATACGAGAGGCCCCAGGGGGAGCATGGATGGGGACAAGCCACCCCCCTTGCTACCCCTCCAGGTGCCGCGGCCTCTGGCAATGAAGAAGGAAAGTATCCAGACGCGGAAACGGAAGCCTAAGAATGTCACCAAGACCAAGGGCTCCTCAGGTGTGCAGGGCCAGGACCCACCTGGTGCCAGGGGGGTACCCTGTTCCCCGGGCCACTCGGGTCAGCCCCAGCCCTTCCTGCAGGGTTGCTGTGGGTGTCTCCAGTTCCAGTGTTAGAGATGTACATAGGTGGCTCACACATAGTCCTCCTGAAGCACAGATACCCCCACTCTGGCCTGCAGTGGCTCTGGTGGGTGGAAAAGCAGGGTGGTGTGAGCTCACCCAGCGGTGGGACAGAAAGCGGGTGGAGGAGGCCATACCCAGACCCTCCACATGTTCGCTGTGTGTCCGTGAGAAATCCCTGCACCTATCTGGGCCAGGACAGGAGTGGAAAGTGTGGCCAGCTCGGCACCTTCCGTAAGTGCCCCACTTCCTTCCCAGGATCCACAGCAAATTCCACAGCCTCCCCCTCTGCTGTCTCCAACACCGAGAGCTCAGCAGTCACTTTGAAACCTGAGCCCAGTCTGGCATCCCCAACGTGCCCCGGGCCCAGCATCACCTCCCAGGTAAGGGAAGTGGAGTCGGGGTGGGGTTCCCGGAGCTGGAGCCTGTGTACCTCTTCAGGGTGGTCTGACTCCTCGGCTGGGTCAGACCCACATCAGACCCCACAGGCCTCTCCCTGGAACTCAGCTGGGCACATGGTCAGCCTTAGCTATCGATACGACAGCCCTTCCTAAGAGCCTGGCCAAGAGCCCTGCGTGCCTTGTCAAGTTCCACCCTCACAAGGGGTCCCCACCTCATTCCAGAGGTTTGAGGTTCCCCTCGGGGCAAATCACCCTGTCATGGGGGCTACCATACCCCAAGAGTGGCCGGCTTCTGCTCTCACATTCTCATGCGTCTCCTCTCCTCCCTGCAGGCTCCCANGATGCACGGGCAACTCTGGGGGATATTTGAGGTGTGCATGTATGTGTACACGTGTGTGCGCTGTGGAGCAATGGTTGGTCACAGCTGGTTTGCGGAGGGCTCCCCCTCAGTCTGAAGGGACAACAGGAGATGGGGACCATGGTGGAGCCCATGGGGAGTGAGGTTGCCAATAAAATACAGAGCACCCTGTTAAACATGAATTTCAGAAAAACATGAACAATATTTTAGTGCTTACGTCCCAAATATTCACAGGACGTGCTTATACAAAATGTTCATTGCTCATCTGAAGTTCATGTCCAGCTGGGCGTCCTGGGTTTTTTGTTGTTAAATCTGGCAGCCCTGGGGGAGGTGGCAAGGCCTCTCCCCACTGTCAGGAAGGCAGAAGGATGGATGGGGACGCTCAGAGGATCCTAGCCTGGGATGGGTGGCAGGGCTGGGAGGAGACCCTGCCTTACACTGGACAGCAGGCTCCGGGAGGGCAGAGAGTACCCACAGCCACCAAGAAGTGGATAGACGGAAGGGAGGGTCTTTTGTCCCTGTGCCCCAGGTGCCACTGATGGGTCTGGACCCTGACTGCCACAGAGAGGATGGGTTAGAGACCTGGCAGGGGCATCACTGTGGCCGTGGTGTGAGGGTCTAGGCACCTGGGCCAGTCTCAAATCCTACCCAGTAAAAGCAGCTGCTTTCTAGATAAGTCAGGATGTGGCCATGGGCTTTCCAGGGAGAGACACAGGCTGGGACCCTGGTTGACAGCTGGGCTGGTTCTCCTGCTGTAGAGGTGCCCCACCGTCCACCATGGCCACAGACACCAGCTCCCTCCACTCCAGTGTGAGCTCAAGTCCCACCCCCAGTTGTCTCCAGGAAGACCACTAGAGACCCTTGAGTGGCTGGATGTCAGCCCAACACCACCATGGCATGGAGGCCATCGGCCAACGGTAGGGATGGCCACCCTCCCTGGGGTCCCCAGCCAGGCCAGGAGCTGTGTCCCACAGGCCCCTCTTGTGCCTTCCCCACCTCCCCAGCCTGGCCCCTTCCCTTCCTTTTCACTCTTTGTCACAGAGCCAGGAGCCTAGGGCAGAGTCCTGGCTGGAGACCAGAGCCACCCCCAGATGAAATGGGGATGGGATTCCCAGAGCCTCTGTAGCTTGGAGTGGTGGGGAGGGATGGGGGAGGAGAGCGCAGCGGAGAGATTGGGGGTTAAGGGGCAGTCAGGCAGGGGGAAGGGCGGGAGGTGGTTCACATCAAGTTTTGGGGGAGTAGCTGGTGCTCAGGACTGCACAGGTCTCCCAGGCCATCCACAGGGGTGGGCCTGTGCCCCTGAGCACAGCCTGGGGGACGGGGTGACAGGAGGGAGTTGACAAGGTGGGCTCAGGAAGGGATCCTAGAGATGACCAGCAGCCGGGAGACTGAGGCTGGCCTGAGTCTGCTCACCCCTCACCCAGAGCCATCTCACTTTGGGTCCTTCTCTGGCTCTCTCCTAAGCTAGAGAATGGGGTTTGGGGGAGGTGCACAGCTTTGAGCGTCTGGCCCTCATCCTCATGGGCTTTTGTCCCTGTGCCCCAGGCACTGCCGATGGGTCTGGACCTTCACTGCTGCAGGGAGGATGGGTTAGAGACCTGGCAGGGGCATCACTGTGGTCCTGGTGAGAGAGGCTGGGCACCTGGACCAGGTGGGGGCCGTGCGATTGGAGGAAAGGGGGACAGGGTTAGGATCGGGCATTTGAGGACAGGAGCAGGGGCGGGGAACAGAGTAGAACCCTCCAAGGACGAGGCCTGGGTGCAAGGGGTGGGAGGTGCAGTGCCACCAGCAGGGCTATGCTGTGGGGAAGGGCTTCAATCCGAGATGCCTGTGAGGCCCTGAGCCAGAGCCCCCAGGCTGCACAAGACTCCATCCAAATGCCAAAATGTGAGTCAGGCAGGAGAGAGGTGGGCTGGGCTTGGGGACACTGAGCTCACAGCCAGAGGGCCCCAGTCAGGCCCCCAGCAGCCAGCACAGCAGAGCCTCCCTGGAGCCTCCCAGGCCTTGCTGGGTCCAGATTCCCAGGCCCCATGCCAGATCCTTTGACCCAGGACCTGGAGACAGCACCGTCTGGGGGCACCAGAACTCCCCACATTCGAGTTTGGGATCACTAGTCAGAATTAGACCTGCAGTATGGGGGGATCCATCTCTCCTGGGAGCCATGGGAAGGAGATAGGGATGTCAGGGCCTCTGGAAGGTTCCGGGTAGGTCCAGTCTTGCTCCAACACGAGGCACGCTGCATAGCATGTGGGAGACTCAGGCAGGCAGGACCCAGTACCATTGGCCCGCCATCCAGTGGGCACTGGGGGCCAGGGACAGCTGCTGAGCTGAGCATGTGCTCTGAGTCCCAAGGCTTGGGAGGCAGGTGGCCAGAGGGACCAGCAGGCCCCTGAACGCTCTCCCTGTCCCTGGGGCCTGAGCTCCAGAGGGCCCCCATGGCCTCAGGGGGTTGCTGCACCATAGAAACATGGGGTGACAGCTCAGCATTGGCTAAAGGAGACGACACAGAAGAATGCCTGCTGCTTTTCTGCTCACAGCTCTTCTTGGGCTCTTACCCACAACCGGCCCATGGCGGTCCGTCACCCCATTTTACTGATGAGAAAACCAAGGCCCAGAAAGGTGAAGTGACCTTTCCCAGGGCTTGAGGGCTGGTGAGTCACAGCTCCGGGGAATCAAGGACATCGTGTCCTGCCAGGCCGGTCCAGGGCAGACCTCACGACCTAAGTGCCACCAAATGCCCTCAGCCAGAGCCCTCCAGGGCCTGCGTCCTGCTGCAGCCTCTGGCTCTGGGCTCATACTAGTTCCCCATCCCCACAGTCCTCGTCCCGCCGTGCCGGGCTGTGCTGCACCAACTGCCACACGACCAACACCACACTCTGGCGGCGGAACGCGGAGGGGGAGCCGGTGTGCAACGCCTGCGGCCTCTACATGAAGCTGCACGGGGTGAGTGCGGGCTGTCCAGGGGGCTGGGACAACCCAGGCAGGACAGCGATCAGCCCCCGGCTGAGCGTGTTGCATGCAGTTTACGCACATGTCCCCACTGCTGTGGCCCCACCCCAGCCCATGCTGTTACAATTATGCTCACGGAGGCTTGTGGCATGGCTGTGGGGGCGGACACTGGACACTGCCCTCTGTGTACCCCGGTGCCTTCCTGGCCCCCAGCAGCTCTGTGGGAGCCTGGGAAGGGAGTCCAGCCACAGCCCCACGGGCTCCTCCTCACCTCACCTGGGAGGACAGGGCCACACCCGGGGGAGGCAGCTGACCAAACACATGGTCAGCTCCAGGAGTGGCTGGTCCTGTGGAGCTGAGATGGGGGAAATGGCCATACGAGAGGCCCCAGGGGGAGCATGGATGGGGACAAGCCACCCCCCTTGCTACCCCTCCAGGTGCCGCGGCCTCTGGCAATGAAGAAGGAAAGTATCCAGACGCGGAAACGGAAGCCTAAGAATGTCACCAAGACCAAGGGCTCCTCAGGTGTGCAGGGCCAGGACCCACCTGGTGCCAGGGGGGTACCCTGTTCCCCGGGCCACTCGGGTCAGCCCCAGCCCTTCCTGCAGGGTTGCTGTGGGTGTCTCCAGTTCCAGTGTTAGAGATGTACATAGGTGGCTCACACATAGTCCTCCTGAAGCACAGATACCCCCACTCTGGCCTGCAGTGGCTCTGGTGGGTGGAAAAGCAGGGTGGTGTGAGCTCACCCAGCGGTGGGACAGAAAGCGGGTGGAGGAGGCCATACCCAGACCCTCCACATGTTCGCTGTGTGTCCGTGAGAAATCCCTGCACCTATCTGGGCCAGGACAGGAGTGGAAAGTGTGGCCAGCTCGGCACCTTCCGTAAGTGCCCCACTTCCTTCCCAGGATCCACAGCAAATTCCACAGCCTCCCCCTCTGCTGTCTCCAACACCGAGAGCTCAGCAGTCACTTTGAAACCTGAGCCCAGTCTGGCATCCCCAACGTGCCCCGGGCCCAGCATCACCTCCCAGGTAAGGGAAGTGGAGTCGGGGTGGGGTTCCCGGAGCTGGAGCCTGTGTACCTCTTCAGGGTGGTCTGACTCCTCGGCTGGGTCAGACCCACATCAGACCCCACAGGCCTCTCCCTGGAACTCAGCTGGGCACATGGTCAGCCTTAGCTATCGATACGACAGCCCTTCCTAAGAGCCTGGCCAAGAGCCCTGCGTGCCTTGTCAAGTTCCACCCTCACAAGGGGTCCCCACCTCATTCCAGAGGTTTGAGGTTCCCCTCGGGGCAAATCACCCTGTCATGGGGGCTACCATACCCCAAGAGTGGCCGGCTTCTGCTCTCACATTCTCATGCGTCTCCTCTCCTCCCTGCAGGCTCCCAGCCAGGTAGATGACCCCCTGGCCCCCAGCCACTTGGAGTTCAAGTTCGAGCCCGAGGAGTTTGCCTTACCCTCCACGGCCCTAGGCCCCCAGGCTGGCCTCAGTGGGGCCCTGCGCCAGGAGGCCTGGTGCGCGCTGGCCTTGGCCTAAGTCCCAGGCAAGCCAGCATCAGAGGATCCACCTCGCGCCTGCTTTGCTCGAGCACGGAAGAGAGATCACCAGGCCCACCCACCAAAAAAGACTGAGTCTCCCTCACACAGCACTGGGGAGGCCTTCTGGGCAGATGGCAGTCAGGTCCAGAGCAAGAGGAAGCCTGGTGGGAGAAGGGCTCAAGGCCCCCATCCCTGGACAGCAAAGGACTCCCCAGGGGCTGCATAAGGTTCTGAACCACACTGCAGCTCTGCAGCTGCCACTGACCCAGGGCACCCACCGCCAACTTGAATTCTGTCGTCAACACTCACCGTCAACATGTTTACAGGTTGTAGCCACTCGGGAAAACCCCAACCTTCTGTTGTAAAACCAGGATTCCAAGTGAAACCCGGAGGCCAGCAGGCTACAGGAACGAGAGCAGCAGCCCGGGACTGCCTGAGGCCTCGGGGGTCTGTCCGTCATGTCCCACATTTGATGGATGGAGCCGTGGTACAGAAGATTTCCCTTCCATGAGCACAGGACTGCCAGGGACAGATGTGCCGGCTATGCCCCGTGCCAGGGTAGCACCCCAGGGAAGCCGTTCACAGCGTGATCATCACGGACTCGTGTATTTATTTGGACCGTTTTTTTTCAGAGGGGGCAGTAAAGGGCCTTTTTCTGGCTGAATCTGTGTATTGTGACCATTTCTGACAGGCAGAGTCTGAGGGCCCCATTCTGAGCCACACAGAGGTACTGTTGGGGCTGGTGGTGATGTGGCCACAAGTCCTAGCTTATCTGGGACCATCCCAGTTTAGTCTGTTGTCCCAGCAGAATTATGAGTAACACCTTCTTTCCCTTGCAAGAGCCCTCCCTGCACTGGGTGGGATGATAACTTGGCATGTTGTGCTGGCCAGAGACCATGCTGCCCAAGGGAACTGATGAATGGCCACTGACAACTGAGGTCAGGAGCAATAGGGAGTGGAGGGAATAGGGCACCCTGGCCTGGCATGCCCTGCAGAGGGGCCACGTCCTCACTGCCAACCAGTCCCTCCAGCCTTTCACCGACAATCTCTGATTTTTTTTTTTTTTTTTTAAGATGACTGGTAAGGGAATCTTAACCTTTGATGTGGTGTCGTCAGCACCAGGCTCTCCCAAGTGAGCCACGGGCCAGCCCTCAAGATCTGATTTTTTCAGAGAAGCCAGAAACCTGATTTTTTTTTTTAATGCAAAGTCTTCCAATTCAAATCTTTTTTTTTAAACTCCCAATTTGATTCAAAAATCTCCATTTAAGTATTTAAAATAAAATATTTTAAAATATTTTTAAATATTGTATGCCAACTAAAATAGCTGCAGCTGGCCACCACGTACCACCCCATTTAAAACTTTTAAGAATGGTCGTCTCCGGCACCAGCTTCTGGAAAGTGTCTGGCTGTCCTGAAGTTGTGTCCAGAGGTTCTTCCAACCTGATTTCCATGTGATGTCATCTTTCTTAAATATACATGAGACAAACGAAGCCATAAGAAAATTTGTGAAATAAACCCCCTGAGCTGCGCTCTCCCTCTCCCTGTCCGTCCCCATGGGATTTCCCAGCTTCATCCTGGGCTGCCTATTGCAGAGATTCTGGCAGTCACTCAGCCCATCGTCCGCTTTCAGAAACATCCTGGTGGGGTGGGTAGGGCCGTCCCGAGTCCCACCAAAGCCCTCCTGGGCATCTGCAGGCCTTGATGAGGCTCGGAAACACTGTGCACCCTTGAGCTGTGTCTCATCAGCTCAGGGGAGGGACACCAGACAGAGCAGCGTCAAGGGTCAGTGGGCACTGAGACTCAGTGTGGCCCTCGGGCCTGGCCTGGAGGAACAGGCATAGGAGCGGGGCTGATGGAGCATCTCCACTGCCCCCAGGCTGGGTCCCTGCTCAGAGCCTCTCAGCCAGGCCCACCTCCCCCTGGAAGCCTTCCTTGACTGCTCCCCACCTCTTCCATCCCATCAGGCACCATGGTGGGGTCTGTAAGGTAACTTCTCCAGCCCCCACACCCACTGGGCCTGCCTCAAGGGAAAACTCAGGCAAGGACCCCGTCATTCTAGCCCATGCAGAGGGGACCACACTGGGGGCATTTCAGTTCCATGGGGGGGTGTGGCCCCTGGTGCTGACACCCGGGCCCAGCCCTGGAAAAGCCATCCCCTGCATCTGAGGAGGGCCTAGGAGTGAGTATTTTAAACAGGGACCCCCGTGAACCTGGGAGTGCTCGGGAGCCCATACTTTGAGAAACCCTGTACTAAGACCATGGCTTTGGGTTCAGAATATGGTTTGAGTCTCTGCCCTGGCACCCATCTGGCTTGGGGTCAGGGGTGAGGGAGTGAGGTGAGGGCTTGGGGCAATGGTGACCCCCGTTTCCCAGTGTGGGATCCTGCGTGGCTCTGATGGGCACAGCCAGCAGCTGGGCCCCACTGAGGTCCCACATAGGGACCTGCTGCCATCTTGTCTTCTCTCCCAGAGGACCCAGCAGCCTTCCCAGGTGCCTGTTCACAGTGAAGAAACTGAGGTGAGGAGAGGTTAAGGGGTCACCAGTTGGGGAGGGCAGAGCCCTTCCACCTCTGCCTTATTCTGGTTCCTACACAGCCTCCTCAGGGCTTGTGATGGGGTGTTGGGTCCCTGAGTGGGAAGTCCAAATTAGAAACTTGAGTGACCATGGCCTCCACAGACCACTGGACTGGCGGTGGCTGGGGGAGCCACAGGTCTGTCCTCCAGCGAGCTGGGTAGCCACTGCCTCCGCTGCTCACTGAGCAGAGCTTTGGCGTCTATATGGAAGGCATGGCCATCCCAGCCCCTTCCCAGCACTCTGGGCGAGGGGCTGCGGGGACCACGAGCCTGGGAGGGAAGGAGGCCCTAGGACGGCTTAGAGGAGACTGGCCACGGCAAGCCACAGAGCCGCCTGGCAGTAGGATCACTGCACAACCCACGTGATCACAACTTGCCCTCCGATCACCTTCTACTGGGTGGGCGCTGTGCTTTGCACTTTCCAACCCCATCCCTCATGCTCTCCACTCTGAGGACCAGAGGTTGGTCTTCCTCTTCTCTGATGGATAAAAACATGGCTCAGAGAGGTGACTCAGGTGCCGGGCCACAGAGGGCCACAGGAGGGCCAGGCACGGAGGGCACAGCACCCCATCCTCACAGTAACTCTGCTCCTGTCCAAGCCTCGATTTCCCCATCTATGGTGGTAGTGGTGCCACATGTCTGTGGCTGTGTGTGCAATCCACACACACAAACATGTGGTGGCCCTGTCCCTGGAAGCCGCAGTACGTGAAGACAGTGCTGAGCGCTGACCATTGTGGGGAGGCTTCCTAGAGGTGTCCACAATGGGATGTGCAGGACAGGTGGGGTCCCCCTGGATAGAGAAGAGGGGTTCCAGATGCTAAAAGGGCTTGGAGACTTGGCCTGGCCCCCGTGCTCCCCAGCCATGAACAGAGTCACCAATGAGGAAAGGGGAATTTGGCTGTCAGCAAGGGGGAAGGGATCCCATCCCTCTGCGTTTATTTCATTTTTAAGGATGTGCCCAGGATGAGGGAGGCTGACAGCTCCACTGCTGGGCACAGTCGGTCATTGCTGCTAAATTTAAGCCTATCTCATTCTCAGGCGGAAGCTGTCAGGACCCAGGGTCTTAATATAGCCGCCAGGCACCCCCTCCCTGCCATTCTTCCTCCCGTGCCCCGCTCTGCCCAGCAGGCGGGTCAAAAACAACCAAAGGAGCCAGAGGCTGGGGGCCAGGACAGCCCCAGGACTCCTTATCAGAGTGACAGGACGGGAAGCAAGGTCACTCCATCTGAGCTGCCTGGGACTGCACACCCTGCATCCTCCTCTCTCAAGCTAAAGCAGAGGCCCCAGAACCCAGACGAGGAGAACTCCTGAGGGTCCTGCAGCTGTCCCCTCCCATCTGCAGAAAGTGTCCTCCGAGCTCCCACTGTGCTTGGTTCTGAGCACCCTAAGGAAGAAGAGAGACCCAGTGAAGCCCAAAAATTGAGGGCCGAGCCCGTGGCGCACTCGGGAGAGTGCGGCACTGGGAGTGCAGCAGCGCTCCCGCCGCGGGTTCGGATCCTGTGTGGAGATGACCGGTGCGTTCACAGCGCTCACTGGCTGAGCGTGGTGCAGCCGGTCTCAAAAAGGACAAAAAAAAAAAATTGAGTACACAGGGCATAAAACAAAAAGGTCCAGGGGGCAGCCTGTGGCTCACTCAGGAGAGTGTGGTTCTGATAACACCAAGGCCACAGGTTCGGATCCCTATATAGGGATGGCCGTTTAGCTCACTGGGTGAGCGTGGTGCTGACAACACCAAGTCAAGGGTTAAGATCCCCTTACCGGTCATCTTT